GTTGAACCCTCACTGCTTTTTTCTCCATGTATAGCTTGGGACTTCTCACTGTATTTGCTGTATTTTTAAGCAAATAACACACGTTATACCTTTTTTTCCAACCTCACAACCCACTCACGCATTATTTTCCTAGGCGCACTATGCACATTGTATTTGTGGGCGTGTTATTTACATGGGCACATTATTTGTGAAAAAACACAGTAGTTGTCCCTCTGTGTGTGTCTCTTGGGTCCATCATGAGAGGTGGCTAGCCGACCAGCTGCCCACAACAATTAGAAAATTAGGTGATTAAATTTTTAAAAGAAGTTACACCTTTATTATTAGAAGGGGAGTATGAGAAGACATTGCACTGTCGGTATTACACATTTAGTCGTTGGTGGAGTTGATTGTCTTGACTGTTGGCTTCTAGACAAGGTCAAATAACAACAACAGTGTTGTTAACATGCACATTATTTGCCTAAAAATACGGTAAATACAGTGAGGAGTCCCAAGTCACACATGGAGGAAAAAGCAGTGAGGGTGCAACATTGTAAGAAAATAAAATTTTCAAGGGCAAAGTACAGAAAACAAAACAAACAAACCTGTTGCCGATTTTCAACTCATAGCAACCCCCGTGTGACAGAGCAGAACTGCCCTGGAGTGTTTTCTAGGCTGTAGTCTTTACGGGAACAGATCGCCGGGTCTTTTCTCCAAGGAGCTGCTGGGTAGATTCGAACTGCCAGCCTTTCAGGTAGCAGCCAGGCACCTAACTGTTGGGCCATCAGGGCTCCTTACAATGACAATAATAATCAACATTAGAGTATTTACTTTGTGTCAGGCACTTACTAAATCCTTACGACAGCACTTTGAGGTATATATATTATTAGTCTCATTTTGTATAGAAGAAATAGGCACAGAGAGGTAAAGTGTTCAAAGTCACACAGCTATTAAATGGTGGAATTGGAATTTGAGTCTGTGCAGTCTGATCCAGAGCCTGTGCTCTTTTAATTTTAATTTTTTTGTGTGTGTGAAAATATACACAGCAGAACACACCAATTCAACCATTTTTACACATACAATTCAGTGACATTGATCACATTCATCAAGTTGTCTGATCATTCTCCAAATCCCAAATTATTCCACCACCATTAGCATAAACTCATTGCTTCCTAAGCTCATTTAATCTTTCCAGTTGCTGTTGTCAGTTTGATCACATACTGATACTTTAAAAGAGCATAATGCTCAAAGCAAACATTCTTTACTAAGTGAGCTAAACTTCAGGGGATAGTTTAAGTTTAAGGTTTAAAGATTACCTCAGGGCAGTAATTTCCAGGGTCATCCAGCCTTAACCTCTGTCGTATTTTAAAATACTATTAAGTGGAGAATGAAATATTATACAGTAAAGCCAGAAATTTAACTATAACTTTTCTCGTTCATCAGGTTTAAGCTTTGTTTTTGATTTTTAATTAACAAAATTTTAATGCTAGTTGAAGTTTCAAATACAGAGAGGTAATGTCTGAAAATGGTTAAACGATTCTTTGCTAGCCTTTGGTACTTTGCCCTTGAGAATTTCATTTGAGTGCTGAATTCTCGGTGCTTTCTTCTCTATACATGATTTAGGGACCTGTCATTGTGTTTAGTTATTCCTAGAAGATATCGTGACATATTTTATTGAAGCTTATTTTTGGATTTTACTTTACAGTTCTGAAAAGGCACATGTATAATTATCTTTTAACTTTTTAT